GAAAGCATGCATCCGATCCATACTGCATAAAACCCGGAAGTTAGTATGCGTATTGAAATGTTCAGTATACTGCGCGGACCCAAAAAATGCATACTGAATGACCACGAAAGTTCAGTATACTGAAACTCCATACTGAATAGTACGTACTGCATACTGAACTGTGACAATTCGGAAAGGGCCCTGGCCCTGCATGGAGCAGGTCCTTAACCCTTAACCCAGTGGAGACTGGAGGGCAGCAGAGCACAGTCTGATCTGACTCTTCACTAAGTCCAACATTCAAAATCTGAATCTGATGTATTAAAACATTTAATATTTAATATAATACTATGGGTATTTAAAAAAATATCTGCTAATGTTCCAAACCTGAATTAAATCATGAAGGGCTAAAAAAACATATCAATTATTAGAAACCAAGTGGGACGTGTTCCTGTATTCTCTACAGGAACACGGTCACATTGTTTCTGGGCTCTTCTAACAGGGATGCTCCGAGCCTCCAAGCACCTGATGTATGGGGCTGTTTCTGTTTGAATGGATGATGTGAGTGAACTCATGATCTACAAAACTATAACCTTCAAACCTTTTATCAGTCATTTATGACTTCAATTCCTTTATTTAAGTTTTCTTATTTCGAATGTACACAGCCATAAATTCAAATTTGGTGCCTTGGCAGTGCTCATGAAGTGGACTGGCACCTCCAGCTACCAGGCTAATTTCTGGATTTCTTGGTCCATGCTGAGACTTGAATCAGTGACCCTCCAATTCCCAACCCAAGTCCCTACAGACTGAGCTACTGCCACCCCAATATATACTATACAATAATATACAGTTTTATGGGGGGTTCAGAGGGGGGTTAATATACAGTTTAATGGTGGGGGGGGGGTCAGAGGGGGTGTTAAACATGATAAGTCTTTTTCAATGACGGGACAGATCGTGGCGTTTGTTTTGCTGATTCCGTGGCTCTGACCTCACAGAGGTCACACACCGAGCTGTTTTGATCAATAGTGATGAACATGTGAAACGTGCACAACAATAAGTCACACTGTAGAGTCGGCCCATACACAACCAGATCTGTGTTATAAGGACAATACTTTATGCTGTGCCATCAAACAGCTACTTAATATAAAAAGGCCAGCGGCACAGAGAGCGTCTATGGAGCGCCAGTCTGCCCCACACCAATGAACGATGGGAAAGGTGAGCGAGCGGCGAGGTTGTGTAGAGTAGATCATGTCAAATGTTTTAAAGCCCATGTGTTGTTGACATTAAATATCTTTTCAGATCATATTCTATGAGGACAGGAACTTCCAGGGTCGGCACCACGAGTGCATCAGCGACTGTGCCGACCTCCATCCCTACTTCAACCGCTGTAACTCCATCCGGGTAGAGAGCGGCTGCTTCATGGTGTACGAGAGGCCGCATTACCTGGGCCACCAGTACTTCCTGCGACGGGGGGAGTACTCGGACAACCAGCGCATGATCGGCATTAATGACTGCATCCGCTCCTGCCGCATGATCCCCATGGTAAGACTGACATGAAGTGTGAGTTAAGACAAGAGTCTTGACCTTTGACCTGATGAGTAACTTCCTGTGTTTGACTGCTTAGCATGAAAAAGATGAGCGGTGACAACAAAATACTGCAAGTTTGATTTCAGTGAACCATCATTGATAAAGAGCCACACAGAGCAGGCTGTCTACACACTGCTTTTGGCAAGATATGAATCAAAAGTCACAGAGAGAGAGGTTAGGGAAATTAGCCACAGGCCGGATTCGAACCTCGGGCCGCCTGCTTGGAAGACCATAGCCTCCATACATAGGGTGCACGCACTAACCACTGTGCCACTAGCGTCCCAAGAAGTCCTTTTCTAAAGATATATTTTTTGCCTTTAATTGAGAGGACAGCTGAAGAGAGACCAGAAACATAACATAACCGCTAGGCCACCGGCAGGAAATCATCCTGAGCTGATGGATGCTCTCATATGATAGCTTAGTTAGCATCCGTTTAGCTATATGCTGAATGTTAAACCCCGCCCACCTGTTCCTGACAGCAGTTTAGCCCTGTGTTAAACCCCCCCCATTGCGTTATGTTATAATTTCAGATTAAGACTTCCCTACTGATATTGAGATATTGATCTAAAACAGGTGGATAACCTCTGAGGACGTTTCATGGACAATGTTATCATAAATACCTCTGTGTTTCTTCAGTCACACTCATTTCTTAAATGATGTTCTTCCTGCAGCACCGTGGTTCCTACAAAATAAGACTGTATGAGCGTCCAGACATGGGCGGTCAGATGCAGGAAGTGAGCGACGATTGCCCCAACGTGCAGGACCGCCTACGTATGTCTGACATTAACTCGTGCAATGTGGTGGACGGCCACTGGCTGCTGTACGACCAGCCCAACTACAGGGGCAGAACCTACTACCTGAGACCTGGCGAGTACCGCAGGTACAGCGACTGGGGCGGAGCCAGTCCAAGGATCGGCTCGCTCAGACGAATCACCGACTTAAACTAGAAGCTTCTAAAACATTCTTCTTCTTCTTTGTTCTCAATAAACTTTTCTGGGCTTTAAACCATGTTTTTTGTCTGCCATGTTTTCTTGGATTTTGAGTTTGTGTGGAAGTTCCTGCCCTCTAACATCTAAACCAATCACAAATTGACAATAAGGTTTACATCAACTGTCTCCTATCAAACCAAATTAAAACGTTTTCTGCTACAACAATGCAGCTGTGAGACCCAGTTCCCCCCACTGATAGACCTTCAAACCTTCCAACTCTAGATTTAACAGACCTTCAAACCCTCCAACCCTTTAACTCAACAGACCTTCAAACCTTCCAACTTTAGACTCAACAGACCTTCAAACCTTCCACCTCTAGACTTAACAGACCTTCAAACCCTCCAACCCTTTAATGCAACAGACCTTCAAACCTTCCAACTCTAAACTCAACAGACCTTCAAACCCTCCAACTCTAAGCTCAACAGACCTTCAAACCCTCCAACTCTAAACTCAACAGACCTTCAAACCCTCCAACTCTAAACTCAACAGACCTTCAAACCCTCCAACTCTAACCTCAACAGACCTTCAAACCATCCAACTTTAAACCCAACAGACCTTCAAACTTTCCAACTCTAAACCCAACAGACCTTCAAACCTTTCAACTCTAAACCCAACAGATCTTCAAATCTCCCAACTCTAAACTCAACAGACCTTCAAACAGGGACGGACTGGGACTACAAAACAGCCCTGGACTTTGACTCAGCCGGCCCACAACAATCGGTACGCGGAAAGTCATCAACGCCTGGCACGGTTGTCACAATACTTTAATCATGACTCATGACACTATACCCTATCCAAATTACAGCAATAGCACTGATGTTGACTAGATGTTGTGTTAAGAGCATAGTATTCTAGTCTTACTTGAATACTCACAAAGAAATGAAGGTGTCATCACTGCAGTCCCTCTACTGTCAGGTATTTTGTCTTCTTCTGAGGGTGGTAAGAAAAAAAAACCTCTAGGCTGTGACTGTCTGAATTTAAGGTTGAGCTGGCGTGGGTGTCATCCTCTGCCCTCGGTCTAAGCTCAACCTGAATAAACAAATGATGGAATGGATTTTTAAAAAAAAACTGTTTTTTTACGTATCCAATTGATCATAACATCATCTATTCCATGCAATCTTATGATTACTTTATTATTCAATAATCTTAATTAATTTATGCAGTAATTAACTTACTGCACAAATAATAATGAAAATACACCACTACAAATGTAACTTCTGTATTCAAAGTCTTCAAAGTTTGTAAGTATTATCAGAAAACTGTAACGTTACCAAAACTTTAACAAGTAAAAGCAGTTTTTTATATATACAGTATATAGCCTATTTCTTAATATTACTGCATGTAGCATTTTACACCTAAAATGTTTAAAGTGGAGATTGTTTTAACTACTATAATCATTATTTCACTTTATGTTATTTCATTTAATTTTTTGCATTGTACTGAGCAACACAAACTGGGTATAGATAAAAATGTAGCAACACTTGAATAACATTTGCTAACATCAGCCAGCAAGTAACTCTCTTTCTCCCTCTCTCATGTCATGTTCCATACTTACTTGCCCTGTATCTGTCTGTGGAACTTCCACCAGCTCATCTCTCTGTCCCTCATCATCACAGGTGCCCTACCATGCTGATGCTGCACAACTGTCTGGCTCGCCTTGACACACTCTTCTTCACTCATGCTGCTAACTTCTTGGATGCGGCTGCTAACATCAACTTGTGTCCTAGTGCTGCTGCCGGCTGTGCTGCTGAACATTTCAGTGAGCTTGCGATATTTAGCGGCTTCACTTTCTAAATGTCACATTTTTTTCCCTCGCCTTCTCAGCCCCACCCTTTTCTTTGCGTTTTTTACCGACGGTATCCATATTTTTGTGCTTCACTACTACTACCAAAGATCGTCTTCGCTGCTACTACTTCTTCTTCTTCTTCTTCTTTTCAATTACCTGGTGGGCACGGGCGGCTGCCGGCTGGCATCCAATTTAAAGACGCATTGTTGCCACCTACCGGACTGGAGTGTGAAACAGTAGATTAGCAGGAAAAAAAACAAAAAACTGGTGATGACTGCGTGGCGGCCGCTGGCCGCCGGCCATCCTGGATTCTCCAGAACACACAGATGGCCAGTCTGCCCCTGCCTTCAAACCTTCCAACTCTAAACCCAACAGACCTTCAAACCCTCCAACTCTAAACCCAACAGACCTTCAAACCCTCCAACTCTAAACTCAACAGACCTTCAAACCCTCCAACTCTAAACCCAACAGACCTTCAAACCTTCCAACTCTAATCCCAACAGACCTTCAAACCTTCCAACTCTAAACCCAACAGACCTTCAAACCCTCCAACTCTTAACTCAACAGACCTTCAGATACTCCAAACTTTGGCCTCAACAGACCTTGAACCCACCAAACCTCTCAACTCAAGGACCCTGAAGAAATAAGGAGCCCACTGAAGAGTTTTACTGGAAAGCTTTATTGACAGTCATTGACATTAACAGTGTCTCTCACATAGAGATCCGTCTGATGGATCCAACGCGGGGAGTCATGCTCCCCCACTCGTTGAACCTCTTGTACTGACCGGGACGCAGCAGGTACTGCCGTCCCCGGTACTGTGGGTGCTCGTAGAAGATCCAGTTTCCATCCATCACGTTGCATGAGTTGATGTCGCTGTGATGGAAGCGTTCATGGAGGGAGGGGCAGTCATCGGTCAGCTCCATCGTCTGTCCTCCGAGCTCGGGGCGTTCGTAGATCATCATTCTGTGGGATCCTTGATGCTGCAGGGACAAGGTGGATTATGACCTCTGGGGCAGTGGACGACTATCAACGTAATTTATTTTATCAATGATATCTCTAAAATCAATTCTTACCGAAGGGATCATCCTGCAGGACCGGACACAGTCGTTGAATCCCATCCAGCGCTGGTAGTCTGGGTACTCCCCCCTCCTCAGGAAGTACTGATAGCCCATGTAGTTGGGTCTCTCATAGACCATCCAGTTTCCGCTGTCTACCTTGATGGAGTTACAGCGGCTGAAGTGCGAGTGCAGGTCCGAGCACTCGCTGCTGCACTCATAGGTGCGACCCTGAAAATTCCTGTCCTCGTAGAAGATGATCTGCAGGGTTAAAGATCATTTTATTGAACACGCTGTTGACTAGTACGAAGGGACATTTTGAAACTTCTAGCAGATGAAGAAAAACTTCCAGTTCAGCAGTTTGTGATAAATGCATCCATGCACATCAAAACAAGCAGCCTTACCTTCCCCATTGTGAGGGCTGAGCGTGGTCACACTGAGCTCCACGCTTGCTTTTATAACCCTCAGATGACCCAAGTCATTGTCTTCACAACAAAGACTGAGCGTGTCAGCTTTTTTCGACACAACACACTGTGTGTTTAATGAGCCAATCAGCTGATTCCTTTGAGCAAGAGGTTTCCATTTCAATGGGATCTGGATGACAGCAGATCCCCCAGAATGAAATATCATTTATACCAACTTTATAAATCTATCTTCAATCAACAGGGAGAAAAAAGACACTTCATATCATGAAAACTCAGATGAAACTTCATATGTGATTGTTCAGAGTTTCTTTTTAATGTGCATGTTAATCGTACAACAGGACACAGTTATCCTCATCAACACGAGAAGATTCTTGTTTTTCTTTACACATACAGTAAAAATACATCAACACTCATTTCACATGTGTTGGACTGAATATCTAACATGCTCCCCTGAAGCGAATGTCAGCTCTGCCCGTCCTCTGAGCTCAGCAGCAGCTTTTATAAGATTGACTATCAGAGTGAAACGCTCTTCATGTCAGCATCACTCGTTCTTTTGGTTTCGGCTTTGTTTTCCTTCATCCCTCATATTGTGAACTTGTCTATGGACAAGCTCCAGAATGAGTTTCTGTCTGCATGTGACTCGTCTCATAGAGCAGAGCTGCTGACCAAAAAACAAACAACTTTAAACAGGAAGTTATTTACAGTTAATCAGATCGACAAAACGCCAGTCCAAATGCACATTTAAGAGTATTGACTCTAATGTTGTATGAAGTAGGGTTTCCTAATGCATATATATACACTTGATTCTATGACGCAAATCATAAAAATGTCTTTCTTACAATAAAGATGTTGACTCTCATTTGATCACTTCACACTCAGCTTCAGTACCTGCTGTAGGTCAGTCTGATGATGCAAACAGAACCACACCATCTGTACGAAGCATAGATGAACTCCTGAGGGCCCCAAATACTCTAAACCTCCACTTTACAGCGCCACAGGACTGAGTCCTAAAACCCGGAAGTAAGTTAGCATTTGAGCGCCATGGGGTCTATCGTCTGAAAGTCAACGGGTTTGTGGTTAGACGCCTGAAAAGAGGTCTGTGGTTAACACAAGCTGAAGAGATGTTGCCGTTTTGTTAAACCACATAAACTACGTTAGGTAATACCCCCACTTGTGAATTTTGAAGTTTTTACGCGTCTTTAAAAAGGCGGTTGCTAACAAGTGGCTAAATGTGACTACAGTGGTTGTCGGGGACATTAAACGTCATCACGTCGGACACAGAGGCCGGGAACTCTCTCACTAGTCTGAGATGTCTCCTGTAGGTTTAATCTTTAGGTTAAGGTGAATATTATGTTAGTAAACAATTTATGTGGATTGCTATGTGGATTAGTTTATCAGAGATCGTCTGAAGCATAACGCTAGTGACGTCACAATCATCCCACCGTGGTCTAGTTAGCTTTAGCATAACGTTAGTTTCTGTCGGCCGCATTAACGCTTCAAACAAAATAAAAATGGCGTTCATTTGTGAAGATTATCCTGCTGAACAAAACGCCTACACTTCAGAAACGTGCGTTTACCACAGAGATTATTTTCTGCAATGATCCAAAATCCCATAGGGGAATTTTCGTTAGACCCCATGGCGATGCTACTTCAGGGTTGGCCTATAAAATGACGTCATATGGTTTGTTCTCTTTACAGTGTACGGTTTGTTAACCAAGACCGCTCAAAAAGGATGAGTCAGGGTCCACACTTGGTACCACTGAGGAGCTTCTTAACTACCTCAGCGTCCCCTTCCAAGATTTCCAGACATATTGGTCTGTTTCAGGAGTTCCTTAAAGTGTAAACTTTTAACTAGAGCTGGGACAAAAAAAAGAATTCACTAAAGCCAAGCCCTGTTTTCCCTCCTGAACCCTGACCCGAACCCTATCACAGTTTGCCGCCTTGAGGTCAACAGAGCTTCTTCTCCATCGCCTCTTGAACTCCTACCACACCCATTTTTTTCTGTCTCCAGCCACAGAAGCCGTTAACCTTCTAGAGACCTGTCTGCTGCTACTGGAGACCCCTAACCCCTTCACTGCTGTTGTGCACCAACGGTTCTTAGGCCATCGCCATGCAAACGCCTCACGTCTTCAGGTTACAAGTCGTCACAGCTGCTTCACAGCTGCTTCCACAAAGGAGGTCCGATTGGACTCAATGCACCCAACGTCCTCCGGGAGAGATACAAGAAAAGACGAAGACCTCAAGAGCCTCCTTAATAAATTCCAAGTTCACCCACACTACACATTGAGGTTAACAAAGTTCAGAAGCGCCCCCCCCCCCAAGTCCTTTTGGTTGAGTGTTTTTGTTCTAAGGTCTGTCTTTCAGTACTTATACCATACAAAGTAATCTGTCATGTTTGAATGTTATATTTCAGATGTTTCATGTCACTTTTTATTTGGCCAAAGATCTTTGTTAAAAGCTTTATAATGGTGTTGAAGCCAAGATCCAGCAGTTTTGATGAGCACATTCAGTATAGCCACTTTGATTCATGTAGCAGCACACGAGAATGCAAAACCGTGGCCCCGTAACTTTAAAGGGATTTTCACAAATCCCTCCTCAAAACTTTTCAAACATGTCAGACTGGAGACTGCCCCTGAATTCTTCCTGACTTTGTTTTTTCCCATATGCACCTTACATATGGGAGTGGGGGTGTCTACTGAGTCAACAGAGCAGATCTGAACTTAGAACTACATCACACTGTATATTCCACCTAATTTAATGATGACTTTTTTGATGAGAACAGAAGAGATTAATGGATGATGATGACTTTATTAACAGGACAGAAGAGATGAATGGATGCATGACTGTCACCATTTCTTTTCACCTTGCCTGAATGATTTAATCGAAACTGCATTTGAAATCCCAAAATGAAAGTCAAGGAAAGTCAAAGGCCACAAAGGTATTTCAAAATATTTTTTAATTTATTGTTCCAAAAGATGTTCATGACTTAAAGAACTGCCATCAGCACATGTCCATGATGCGCCTGATGGAGCTGATGTTGGACATGTTGTTCATGCTCATGTCGCGCAGGTTCCTGTACTCTCCGGGTCTCACGTACATCATCCGGCCTCTGAAGCCAGGCTGCTCGAACATCAGCCAGTGTCCTTCCATCACATTACAGGACTGACAGTCCGACATCAGGTAACGATCCTGCAGAGACTCGCAGTCGTCCATCAGCTCGTTCATCTTTCCTCCAAAGTTCTCTCGTTCATAGATCCTTATCCTGAACTGTCCCCTGTGCTGTTTGACAAACACAAACCATATTAGACCATCAGTTTCCCGGAACTTTTTTTACATCTGGACTCTGGATGTTTCAGGTGATAACGTTTGTAGTTCACATAGACTTAGCCAATCATTCCATTCAGACCAGACTGTCTTACCATGGGGATCATGCGACAGGAGCGGATGTTGTCCATCAGGGACATTCCCATCATACCCGCCATGCTCCCCATGCGCTGCAGGTCCGAGTACTCCCCCCGCCTCAAGAACACCTGATTTCCCATGAAGTTTGGGCGGTCGTACACCACGAAGCATCCGTTGTCCACCCGGCAGGAGTTGCAGCGGTTCAGGTGCATGTGGAGGTCGGAGCAGTCGCTGCTGCACTCATAGGAGCGACCCTGAAAGTTCCTTTCCTCGTAGAAAATAATCTGCAGGAGAGAAGGATACAGAGGTTAGAAGGAATTCTGTTGGAGGAAGACAGGAACCAATCATATCTGCATCACACTGTATCTATAAACTAGAAAACGTAAGAAGTCTTCTCCATCATGAAAGCAGCACATGTTCATAGTACCCGGCCCATGATGACGGTTCTGGTTTTTGCCTAGTTGCCAGCGCAGGTCGACTTTTATAAGGATGATTGGCTGAAAACCACCTGTCACGCCTTTGTGTGAAACATCATGACTCATCACCAGCTTCACGTGGTCTGCATTCAATTTACAGCACACCTGAATTCTTATTATTGTATGGTGAATGCAGTTATATAGGTCATCACAGGTCAGAGCAGCGGCTAAACTTCATCAAAAGAAATACATTTTACCTTTTTATTGTGAAAGCTCCAGGACGAAATGTGTTGAACATGATGTGCATCTATCTGTTTTCAGAATGTTCACTTTCATCATCACATCTGTTATTCTCTGTAAAGAGATTTTCACTGAGGATGTCTAAATTAAATAGTCAAAGGAATCCAGCATTAAAGCCATATATTCACACAACAATAACTACAACAGATTCCAATGTACAGTGAAGCCGGCTATCCTATAGAGCCGCCCACGGCCACAATATAGAGTGATGACTCAAAGGTTTCAGCACAAGCCATGCAGAAATACTACAGCTGTGTAATATATAAAAAGGGAAAAGGGTCGATGTTGAAGCTGTATATCTGGGATTAGCTCCTAAATATCATGACCATGGGGAGGGTAAGAGAACATTTGTGTAAACTGTAGGACAATAAAGTTATAAAAACGGATGAAAGTCAGAATTAACTTCCAAATGTTCAATAAAAAAAGAGTTTAAAAAGTTAAAAAGCCTTGAGCTATTTTCCACACAGTTAAAATATTTGAGAAATATTCTCTGAGTTCTCATCTGTCTTTTCCAGATCATCTTCTACGAGGACAGGAACTTCCAGGGTCGCTCCTATGAGACCAGCAGTGACTGCCCCGAGCTCACATCCTACCTGAGTAGGTGTAACTCATGCAGGGTGGAAAGTGGCCTCTTCATGGTCTACGAGAAACCCAACTTCATGGGCCACCAGATGCTGGTGAGGAGGGGCGAGTACCCTGACAACCAGCAATTGATGGGCATGAGTATGAGCGACTGCATCCGGTCAAGCCGTATGATCCCCACGGTATGTTGGAACGAACAACACCAAAGATTACATCAAATTATATCAACATAACATTAGATAAACAGAGATAATATCAAACATTAGATAAACAAAGCTAATATCAACCATTCAGGTCCTAATGTCCTTAAGGTATGCTTCTGGTTTCTATAAGTGATCAGGCTTCATTCATGCGTAAAGCTGAGCATCATCTGCATAACAATAACAATTTATGGAGTATTTTCTCATAATATTACCAAGAGGAAGCATATATAATGTGAAGAAAATTGGTCCAAGTAAATGGACTTCAGCTTATTTAGCTTTTCTAGTCTTCCAACTACTCAAAGCACTTTCACACCACATGTCACACCCACCCATTCAAAGACTGATGGTAGTGATTGCTATGTAGTAACATCCATCAGAAGTAACTAATCCATTCATACACCACCACTGAAGCAGCGGGAGCAATTCAGGGTTAAGTGTCTTGCCCAAGGACATGATGGACATGATGCTCAGCTGGGGATTGAACCCTCAATCTTCTGGTTGAGAGGTGATGACTCTACCAACTGAGCCACAGCCGCCCAAAATACTGAACCTTGTGGCACTCCATTGGTAACTTTGGAGTGCATAGAGGACTTATCATTAACATGTACAAACTGAGATCGATCTGATAAGTAGGATTTATAACCATCTTCAAAAAGTGATGCAATGGTCTGTTGTACTGTAATCTATTAACTCTTGCCTTAAAACCAATCTCTGATCAAATAGATGTAAACATCTAACCTCAACAGAAACATTTTTTTTTATTATTCCTAGCACCGTGGGCCATTCAGGATGAGGATCTATGAACGAGAGAACTTTGGAGGCCAGATGCACGAGCTCGTGGACGACTGCGACAGTGTGAAGGATCGTCTCAGCATGTCGGATTGTCAGTCCTGTAATGTGATGGACGGACACTGGCTTATGTTTGAGCAGCCCAGCTTCAGAGGCCAGATGATGTACGTGAGGCCCGGAGAGTACAGGAACCTGCGCGACATGAGCATGGATAACATGTCCAACATCAGCTCCATCAGGCGCATCATGGACATGTGCTGATGGCAGTTCTTTATGTCATGAACATCTTTGGAACAGAAAATAAAAAAAAAATGCATTTTGAAATACCTTTGTGATGTTTGACTTTCCTTTGTGTGGACTTTAATTATGGGATTTCAATCACAGCTCTGTTGAATCCTGAGACCAGTAACCTGTGAGAGAAGGATCTCTCTGCAAAACAACAGTGACCCCTGCTGGTTGGGTTTGATTTCACTTCATGTCAGCGCCTGAGAGACGAGAAGTCAGTGAACATGGAGTCGAGTCACTTTTGTTTAAGGTAGTTTTATATCCTGCAACAGTTCTGAGCAGACATATCATAAAGCCTGTTTCATGTTTGTGTTTTGATAAAAATCTGTGTTCATTATGTGAGTCCTCACCTCACTTTATCTGAAAAATAACACATTAAACAAAGAATACGAATAGTCTTTAAATCTTCTATTAAAAATGTTCAGCTGAAAACAGCAACAATTCATTTTATTTATTCAAAGTTAAACAGGAGATCGTTTTCTACCCGTCGTGTCTCTGTTACAGCAGCTGTTTGATTCACTGTCATCATCAAACTGGAGCAAAAGCAAATAAAACAGCTCACACACATTCTGCTGAAATGTAAATCTGCCACATTTGAGTATGACATTGCTGTACACTGCACATTTGATTAATCGATAAATACTTTGATCACAGATGAGTCTGGAGAGCATCACGATGGGGAAGGTGAGACTAACCCTGCTGCACAGACTCCATCGTTTTTAACACAACATAGATTTAGGTGCAGAATATACTCACTCAATGTGTGAACATTTGATCTGTGACGGATTAAGAGTTAAAGTAAACCATCTTAAGTGAAACAGTATCAGTGTTCAGGTGTGACATAATGCCTGTTACTTTATTATTTGGGATAAACAGTATTATTATTTTTTTAATCTCTCACATTAGTTGATTCAAAATTCCATCATCCCTGTTTATACGATTCTTGGACTACAGAAACACAGAAATTAAAAACTACAGATTAGCTTCACTGCTCCTCCTCTCTGCTAACAGATGTTCATAAACTGAAAAAAAGGGATGTCCCAGTTTTACACGACATTCTACATTACAGCAAACCTTGCTGGACTACAAATCCCAACATGCTTTATATGCGATTTTTCACACTTAAATGTAATAGAAATCAAGTATATCCTCTGAAAATAACTATACTGTCTACAATGGGTGTAACACACGAGTCCCACTGTCTGCTATGTTTTCCGAGTTTTCCGAGTCATATTTTCAGATTGTTTACATCGCCAGGATGGCTGGCCGGCTCATCCCCTTGTGTATAAAAGTTGTTTAATGGAGGGACTAGAGAAAAGAAGAATAACATACTGTACTCACTGCTTAACTGTGTTTCTAGCTCACGCTCATTTCAGGTAAATTTACATGCAGTGTGAAGATACGAGCATAATAATGATCGCTAGCATTAGCATGCTAACACAACAATGCACCCAAGCTTGGGCATGGGCGTGGCACAGACGCCCTTGTCCGTCCAGAACCTCTGGAATTCCCCGCCAGGCCCCCACAAGTCTGCTGAGTGCAGAGGGGACTGATATGTGCCCTCTGCAACAATAAAGCCGTATGGTACCCAAACATAGCCGAGGGATCTGCTGACACCTTAAGCGGGTCCCACAAGGTACCTGCTCTCTATGAAAACATGTTAGAAAACTTCTGCATGTTGAGGACCACTCATGCTTTGCTCCTGGCAAGTGAAATTACCTACCTTGGAGCTATCAATCAATCAATCAAACTTTATTTGCAGTTCAAAGTGCTTTACAAGAGTGCAGAAAAGTTATTGACGAAAAAGTAGTTTATAAAATCATTGATAAAATCATTGAGAGACTAATGCACACCAATAAGAATGAAAAAAATAAGTATACAAATGAAAAAATAAAATACAACACATAAAAGCAATAAGATATTAAAATAATTATATAGGAGAAGAATATTTAAAATTGTAGTAGGATAAAAAGACAATACAAGAATGTTAAGATTTGAATTTATATAAAGCACTATATAAAAGCCAGACTGAATAAATTAGTTTTAAGACTGTGTTTAAAAATCTCGATAGACCCAGACCCTCAGGAACGTTGTTCCACAGTATCGGAGCGTAACATCTGAAAGCAACATCATCAAAGGTTTTTGTCCTGCTCTTTGGAACAACTAAAAGAGAGGAACTGGAGGATCTGAGGGGCCGTACTGGTTCATAAACTAAAATCATATCTGATAGGTAGTCTGGTGCAAGGCCATGTAATGCTTTATAAACTAATAAAATAATTTTAGAATTAACACAAAAACTCACAGGCAGCCAATGTAAAGATTTTAAAACAGGTGTGATGTGTGCTCTCCTTCTGCTCTTTGTCAGTACTCGCGAGGCAGAGTTTTGTAGTAGCTGTAGCCGATTGGTTGTGTTTTTAGGAAGACCAGAAATGAGAGCGTTACAATAGTCCAGCCTGCTAGTGAAAAAAGCGTGCATTAGTCTGTCTGTTTGGCTCAGAGAGAGAAATGGCCTCACTTTGGCAATGTTTTTCAGGTGGTTAAATGTTTTTGTGACACCCTTCACGTGGGCCTTAAAATTAAAATCTGAGTCAAAGATCACCCCAAGATTCTGTGCTTCTTGACTTGCGTTGAGTCCTATTTTTTGTAATTTGGGGGCCAGTTTCTCTCTCTGAACCTTTGAACCGATGATTAAAACCTCTGTTTTGTCCTGGTTGAGCTGCAAAAAATTCTGTGACATCCAGGCTTTTATATCTAAAATACAATTAAAAAGTGAGTCAATTTGTCTGGTGTCATCAGGAGACACGGCCACACAGAGCTGAGTGTCATCAGCATAGCTGTGGAGAGAGATTCCATGCCTCCTGATGACACCACCCAGGGGTAACATGTACAAATTAAAAAGTAATGGTCATAAAATCGATCCTTGTGGTACCCCACTGGAGACCTCGTATTGTTTGGAGGTGTAGTCTTCTATCGATACAAAACATATTCTGTCACACAAATACGAGGTGAACCAGTTAAAAACATTTCCAGATAGGCCTACATGCTCACTTAGTCTATCTAAAAGAATCTGGTGGTCAACAGTATCGAAAGCAGCACTGAGGTCGAGTAGTACCAGAACAGAAGGCTTGTTGTTGTCTAAGTTTTTTCTGATATCATTAACTACTTTTAGCAGGTCTCAGTGCTGTGGCGTGCCCTAAAGCCAGATTGAAACATTTCTAATGTAGTGTTTGAGGTTAAAAAGGCACTCAACTGATTAAAAACTAACTTCTCTGAAATTCTGCTTAAAAATGGCAGGGTTGAGATGGGTCTAAAGTTACTAGGTATTAAAATATCCAGGTTCCCTTTTTTTTTTAAAGAGGTTTAATTAAGGTAGTCTTAAAATCGATAGGGACGACACCTAGCTGTAAGGAGTGATGGGAATTGGGTCAAGGGAACACTTGGATGGCTTAAGTTCTGTTACCTCTGTCCTGAGTGTTGCAGCATCAACCAGGGCAAAACGTTCCAACTTGACATCACTGATTGTACATGATACTGGAAAAAGTGTGGTGTGCTTGCTTTGCTGACACATACCAGACCTAATGTCAACTATTTTATCCCTGAAGTAGCCAGCAAAAACCTCACATTTAGATCCTGAGAGCAATGAGCTGTTATTGGTTGTGGGGTGTAACAGAAAAGATGTCTGGGGTTGTGAATGTTGCTGTGAAGTGTCTTAAATATCTAGGACAGAGATATTATACTGCTCTTTAAGTTGTATACTGCACACATCTGGAAAGAATTTGTATCTGATAGAGGAGTCCCCTTCAGTTGAATGCTCAGGTGTTGTTGGCAGGATGAGTGATGACTTGCCAGGTAATGCCTAAATCCAAGATAGGATCCCCCACAGTGAAAGGTAAACAAGGGGACCCCTGTGTCCAGAGAGATACCCAAGAACAGAAAACAGATGTCCTCATGTGTCCTGTGACATTATGTATAAATAGCACTCTCAATGTATGGTGGAGAGAGATCATTATTGGCTTCTTGACTCTCCTGGGCAGACATGTTCAGTGATTCTGCAACTTGTTAATAAATCATTCTGTTTAAAAGCAAGTCAGTCTCAATTTCTTCATCATCAAACATATCATCAACAACAGAAATCCACATCAGCTGTTTATCAGGTTTGAGAAATATTCTTACAATATTCTTGTTGTAGTCTTTTATTGCTTCTACGAGTATATTTTTATCAATTTTTATTTTTGTTTTTCGCCACCTGCGTTCAGCAATTCTGCAGTCTCTCTTAAGTGCATTGGTTGCATTGTTTTTCCATGGAACAAACTTTTTTGTATTACCTGTCTTTGTTGTGATTGGAGCGCAGGCGTCAAGCACTGTCCTCAGTTTATAATTAAAATCGGTAACAAGTTGTTCACAGGATGATGGTAAGGTGGTATTTATGTAAGCTGTAAGATGTGATGTAAGAGTTGTGGCTACTTCAGGGGTAATGTGCCGTTTGTTAACTGTACGTTCTATTGCACCGGGAGGAGAGTGATCAAAACAGTTAAAAAACACACAATGATGGTCAGACAGAGCCAGGTCAGTGATGGATGAACTATTTATGTTTAGGCCATATGATATAATCAAATCGAGGGTGTGTCCATGTTTGTGAGTCGATGTATTGACATACTGTTTAAAACCCATACATTTTAATAATTCTAAAAACTCTTTGGCTCTGGTATCTGCCAGTATGTCAACATGTACATTAAAATCACCAATTAAAATACAAGCATCATAACTTATGTGAATGACAGATAAAAGATCAGAGAACTCTGTTAAGAAACAGGAGAAAACTACGTTGGGGGCTCTGTATACTGTCACTGCCAAAATATGTGGCTTACAGAAACATTAAAAACATAAAAAATGTTGCATTGTATTCAAAGGAACAAAATTCTCCAAAATCTGTCCCTAATTTTCAGTGCCTCTTTATAGATAGCAGCTGTTCCACCGCCTCTCTTTCCCTCTCTGCAGGAAAAAGAAAAGGTGTAGCTGGGTGGACAAGCCTCGATGCA